GCTGATTGCTGGATTGCTTTAGCACCTGTCTAGTAGTAGCTATGCCATCTATGCAGTGAGACAGGTAGATGGCGCAGCTGCCACAGAACTATAGCTTTCAATAAAAGCTTGGAGCGGGCGGGCTCCTGCGCCGTGGCCGAGGATACGTCTCCCTGGCACCGGCTTCGTACTGAAGCAAAGAACCTGCAGTTCTTTGTGTCTCGGCTTCTGTGTGAAAATCTGGCATTGGAGCCAGCCTTCCGCGCTGCAAATCTAAGTTACAGTAGGCGGCGTATTTGGTCAACTACACCCTTACGAGGATGTCGGGCTGTTTCATTTCACTACCTCCAACTCCGGCAAACCTGCTTCCCCCCCCTCGCACTTTCCCCGCAACCTGGGCAACGGCACAAAGCTTTGCACAGGACGAAGCCGGAAGCTAGGCAAATCATGGGGCAGGGGCTGCTCTTCTTCTTCTTGCTCCCGTGCTCGGCGCAATAGTGCCTCCAAGGTAACAGATGCTTCTCAGCCTTCACGGATATGATGGCCAAGTCGAAGTGCACACCTGCACATCACTGCGAATCCGCACTGCCTCGACCTCTGCCAGGTTCCTGGCTTGCCGCTTCCGGGCTTCGCCATCGAGGTCCTTCCGTCGGAGTCTAGCAGCAGGCTATGTTGATTGTAAAGCTAGCAGGGCGGAAGCCCGTGCAGAATCGACACTCACGAACAGGGTCAACTCAGGATGGCAGCAGTGGTGCAGGCGGTGGGTTGGGGTCTGTGTAGTTCAACATCAAGAGTCAAGAGTTAATTGACTCAGTTGCCAACGGAGTCACATAGTATCACACAGTTGCCCAAAGCGGTGTCCCTCTCAGGCATCAGGGTGTCCAAAGATGTGGTCCTGGGCGGCTGTGTCAACTTGAGGGGACCATCTCGGCGCTTGTCCATGCGACTGTTGCTCCACAGCAGCTCGCCTCCGAAAACAAAGCGTCCTACAGCTCGTTGGTCACCAACATTGCTGGCTTAGCGGCTTCCTCTTTTCACCTGCGGGCAGTTGCGAGCGCACTTTGGACTTGGGTTGCAATCACTGAAGACCATGGCCTCAAGGCGTTCAAAGAAACGTCTTCCATGTCTTCACGCGGGGCTTCAGGTGCGATCTGTCTATTTGGTGTGTAGCCAATGCATACATGCATCTGTGTCATGTTGCACTGGATTCAGTCGGTGGGGGGGCACCCCCACTTGGACACTTGGGGTCCAATTTCACAGGTGGCTGGGTGATTAGGGAGTGGTGAGGATGGGGTGAGGCGTGCGTGCGGCGGTGTGGCGGGAGTGAGAGGTGAGGGTGTGGTAGGGAGGGGGGTTCCAGTTTCCAGTTGGTGCGTTCTTGGGATGTGGTCCGTCCTCCTCGTCGCAGCATCGACATCAAAAGCAAAACGCGTCGATCGCCCTACTCCGGGCCAAGACAGCCATGTAACTATGAGCAGACATGACAATGCACCACACAAATCCGGCCGATTTTTTCGCATTATAGACGACCACCCCAAAGTTTGCAGGATCCTGAAAAGGCACAGGAAAATGAGCTATAGAGGGTCACCTGATTAAACCCAGGGCACCGGTGTGTGTGTGTGTGTGTGTGTGTGTGTGCTTGGATACATATAACATATATATATATATATATATACATACACACACACATACATACATGCATACAAACATACATACATACATACATACATACATACATACATAATTACATACATACATACATACATACATACATGCATGCATGCATGCATACATACATACACACCCGTACACACATGCACACACATATGCACAAATACGTACGCACGTATGTGCGTACATACATACGTACGTACATCCATCCATGCATCCACGCAAGTGCATGCACATACGTACATACGGATGTACATACATCCATCAATGCAAATGCATGCATTCATACCTAGATTGCACACATGCACACGTGCAAGCACACCCATCCATCCATTCATCCATCCGCGCATCCATCCATCCATCCATTCATCCATGCATCCATGCATCCGTGCATGCATGCGTGCATGCATATACATTTTTCTATGTGGGTTGATCGACATTATTGTTCCAATGAGTGGTTATACCCCTTGCGCCCGCGCTTGGGCGCTCTTGTGTGTTTCTTGCGTGCACACGAGTTTTTTCATACCCTGCAGCCTGTATGTGGATCATGAACTTCAGTATCTTGAGTACCACAACATGACCCATAGGTCATCGCACGCGCTTTGCAAGCTTTGGAAAGGAAGGTTCCAAGATCTAGAATGCATCATGGGGAAAACTCGGTTACACATTGATATATAGCCATATTGCTGACCTTACGAGCTCTTGGGCCCGCCCTTGCGCACACACCATGATTTGAAGGCAATGTCAATGGTGACGATATGGATAAATCGCGTCAAGATGCGGGGGTTTAGATCAACCCTCATAAAAATTTGTCTTGTATGACGATCCCTTGAAAGGTGGGGTGGTGAACTTCTGCCTCTGGTCCCAGGTGCTGCCCGTCGGCCACCATCGAAGTATCGTCTTTGGCAAAAGACATGTATTACCGTGTCCTCAAAAACGCAGCTGCGGAGCAGAATTGCGAAATCTTTAGGAGAACCTTCCATAGCGCAGAAGTCGGAGATGATGATGCCATGAGGTTGAGCTGCCGGAACTGGCATCTTAGAGTTTCTTCTCAAAGCGCATGTCAAGTAACGCACCTGCAACAGCTGAGCATCCTGAGACGGTCCGCCCAGCTCCGGTCAAGAGCTGTCTGTACAACACGGCATCTCCAGGGTGAAACGAAGCTCCATTGATTAAAATCGTCTGCGACTGGGCCCTTTCGATCCGGGCTCGCGGCAGCAGACGAGTGCCTCAGCAAACCTCACATCTGAAAACAGTCCGGAGTAGAACCAAGGGCTGTAGGGGCAACATTGTGTGCCCCCTGTACACGGGCTGCAACTGCACTTCACAAACAGCCCAGCAGAGCTCAGGTCTAACTCCTCGAGAATTATCGCCGTCGGACCTGTAGCTTCTGGCCGACAAGCCGGGTAGACAGCAGGCTGCCAACACCTGGCTGGGCTCAGCCAAGCAGGTAGGATGCAACTCAATATTATACGATGTCTCACCCTCAACCAGAAAGAAGTAAGATCGAAGCTTTCGTGCTAGTAGAAACACATTGGGCCAAGGCTGTCTGAATAGCTTGGAAGATTCAATGTAGCCCGATTCCAGGAAACAAAGAAGTAGAATAAGCTGCACTTACCTTCACAGTCGGCATTTGCACATCCTTCCAATTTGCCCCGGGACGGCCGTTGGTGTGCTTTGGCGTTCTGTACCGACGAGGCTCATGTACGCGAATCACGTCCAAGCCTCGGCAAAGCTTGTTTTAGATCTGCTCACGACCTACGGCACTGCCACGATTTCTGCCGAGACGCAGATGTCGGTCTCGTCACGGAGAGGTCGGGATTCCTGGGTGCCATGCCCCACACACGGGCACCACACCGACAACGCCAAGCCAAACGGAATCTCTGCTGCTGAGAGCCCTTAACTCAACAACTCAAGACTGTTGCGAGCATGCCGACTACAAGGCTGATGACAAGGGCTTTGCGGCCCCGTCACGTCTCCCAGCAACGAGCCGCCACCTGAATCACTCCCACCGTCATCGAGCATGCTTGCGCGCATGTGCAAGGGTTGCACATTAAGCTATTCTTGTATCCGCTCTTTCGTCTCTGGTTGGCACAGTGCGACTCACATCGCACATCATCGCACATTTGGATAACAGGCGCTTTAACGAAGTTGATCAGAATCCGGACAGAAGCGCCTTACGCTTTACCGCGTACTTCTCGGGCCCTGACATGCCAGCCGCTGTTCGGTCTCTGGAACAGCAAAGTTGGTCTGGATTGACATCTTGATCTCCCTGGCGCACTCTGCTTTCTAAACTAGGGCGGTTTTCAGGAGCCAAGGTCATGACAAGTTTCTAGCTCTCGCAAACAAAGATGCAGCCAGCATTTAAGAAACATGGCCCTGCTTGTCCAGTTGCCCAATACGGGGGAAGTGCAAGTAGCGTTGCCTGCCAGTCGACGTGTCCTCAACAGTTCTGAACAGCTTCCCCAAAGACCGGGCAGGGCGGGTGGGTGCATGGTGCCAGTGTCTCATGCCACGCGCTTTTGCATCTTGCAGATGTCGCTCAAAGCCCCTTGAAAGCCAACTTAAAATCCACGCCTACGCATGAAGGCCTCAACGGCTGGTCATATTACCATGTGATGGCGATACCATGACAAATTGCAGGCAAAGGCACCGGGAGCAGCATCGTTCGACTCTCACCTAAGACTACAGTGGAGCATCGCAAGAACTCTGAATGCGAAATGAATGCTGCCCGACGGCCACCCAGCAGCCGCACTGTGACTTTGACCAGCGTGGTGGATGTCTGTGCCTGTGGCCGCCTGCATGCGTTGCGAAACATCAAATGGATCAGTGCATTCCGGGATGTTGGATCCTAGCCGTTCCAGACTTCAGCCATGCAAAGCACGGCTGCAGCGAGGTAACACCCGCCAAAGGCTAAAAAGCTTGCAGCTCAGGAGCAGGACCGGTCCCAGACCACTCCTCACTTGCACAGAAACGATCGCTTACATGTTGCATGGGAACTTTGAGGCCGGGTCTCTCCTTGGTACTTATTCTTACAGGAACCCTGGACACATGCTGCGCCGAGAAGCATGCAACCCGCTGGCTCCAGTGCGCCAGAGCTTTCGACTTGTCCCATGGCCCTCTTTTTGTGCCAACTGAACAAAAGTTAATTCTGAGCCGAGAAGCCAGGCCGTGGTCGAGTTTCATGAGCAGAACACAGAGAATGCGAGGTCTCGTTTCCATACGAGATCGGTCTAGGCTCTACAGTTTGCATCACATTGCCGCAATGATGCCGTTTCTCTCTCTGTCTCTCGCTCTCCTCGTGCGCACAGGCTGAAGTCGTTCATAAACAGCCGCCCGGTGTCTTGTGCCTCTTCGGTCAGATCCTTCACGTAAACGCCCAGTCCCTGTCGGTTGTGACATGAGTAGGCGGGGAAGGGCGGGGGCATATGCAACGGGTTGGCTTAGGGCACTCGCAGATTGTATGCCGCTCAGACAGTTGGTAGTATTCCTGGAGCCGCTTCGGGCTCCGTGTCTGCGTGAAGCGGTTTACGATTTACGAGGCCCTTGAGCAGACTGAGCTGAGATGGGCGTCTTGGACCAGTCCTGTTGAGCTCTTGAAGTTGCGACTTTTTGTCCACGCAGACATCACCGCGAACACTGATTGAGTCAATGAAGCGGCAGCGGTCCTCTTCAAGTGACAGCGCCAGGCGGACATTCAGCGATTCTTGCTGGAACCCACGTTGGATGACAGCTTGACTTCCTGTTCCGTTAATGATTAAACTAATTGCACATCCGCAACTTGCCTGTGACCAAGTTTAAGCATGCTGTCAGCCGTAGGGGTGCAGAAACACGGGTTCAAAATGAGAAAGCCAAAGGCTTCAGCTACTCAGCAGCTCACCCTGAATTCCAATGCATAACTCGCGGTGGACGCCCGAAAAGTATCTGCGAAGCCCTCGTCGAAGGCTTCCTCGTAAGAATGCGGAATGTAAGGTAGGTAAGGTCGAACTGCCAAACCGACTCCTGATGCGTGCATGGCTACACTATTGACACAATGGGGCTTCCTATGGTTTCCCCCCGGACGAGGGCGGTCGGTCCCCTTGACCCTACGGCATCGATCGCACAGAATCAGAACCTCCCTGGCAGCTCTCCAAGTCTGGCACTGCACACAGCAAGAGACAAGGACTCACCCGCAGAGCACTCATGCGCGCTGATTATGATATGGCTGCCCTCCCTGCAGCGTTGGAGGGTTGGGGCTGCAGGTCTTCGTCGAACTGTGCGCTCGAGTCATGCACGAAAAAGATATAGGCTCCCTTAAGGACGCCGAGTTAGATGGAGCGGTGCAAGCACTGCGTGTGAGAAGATACGTGCTGAGAGACATTGTCGCTGTGGACACTTTAGTGCTTCTTCCAAGCATGCAGCAGGCTCTATCCTGAATGAATATTCTATCAATCCTTGTGGGGCAAAGGTGCACATCAACGTTGCACATGTAAGGCAAGGCGAGTGGCCTGCGCACGAAGCAGCTATTAACACAACAGCACACAGCGCAGCATAACAAAACACAACACAACCGGCCAATGCACAACATAGTGCAAAATAGTATTCAACATGGCATACCATACCACGACATTTCAAATCGCATGCCGTGGAAGACTATAACGGAGATGACCTTCATGCTGATGATTACGGTAATTTTGCTAGTTATGTATATACATCAAACTTGTATATGTACATGTAAACTTACCTGTACATGCACATGTGTATGTAGAAGTATACGTATATGTGTATGTATGCATGTACATTATTGGAAAATGTGCACACAGATATATGTATGTTGTATGGGTGTATATATGTATCTGTATACACATACATATACAAACACACACACACACACACACACACACGCCTGCGCATCTGCAGCATTTGTGAGCAGGTGCGTGTCTGTGCGTGTGTGCGCATTGCGCGCAAGCGTGAGCCGAGCACTAGCGGCTGCACTAGGCGTCTGCACATACACTGAAACTTGTCCATGCGCAGCATACGCACGTATGCAAATATGGACATAAATACATATTCACATACATACATACATCCATGCATGCAGACAGACATGAATACGAAGGAATACTTATTCAACCATAGCATGTACACACATGCAAAGGTGTGTGCACACGAGTTCTGAAGAATCAGCTTGTCTTTGTCTACTCATAGTATCAGAAATCTGCCTGCATTGATGTGCTTTGGCCAGCATCTCTTTGTGCCAGTATCAGCACGTACAACAGACACTGGCCTACGCAATAGATGCAGCAATGTAACCAATCAAACAAACACACAAATGCATGTGTATACGTGCGTGCATACATAGCACATACATGCGCACACACACGCACAAAGACATATAATATGTGAATAGAATAATATACACACATAAATGTGTGTGATGCTCTCATGTGCATGCACCGACAAGCTTCGGCAGCTTCACTCAGCGGATGGAGAAGCCGACCTCTCCACCGGCCGTCGACTACTGACCCGAATGAGCTCAACCTGCATGAGCAAGCAGAGTGCATGCACATGCCACGTCACTTCATGCCAGCAGTATGTCAGCCCTCGTGCACACTTCAATTAAAGGACGACATGAGACAGATTACCTGGGGGGGTCGACATGTAGAAGAGATAAGCCGGGAATAACAAATACATGGTTTTCAGCTCCGCGCACTTCTTATCATCCGAACGGAAGCGGGGCTGGCTAGCAGGATCCAGGCGGTGATCGGGGAGAATCCACGCCAGTGCCCGAAAAACGCAGTCAGAGTCTTCCGCTTAAAGTCGTGAGGTTTCAGCTTTCAATGAAAAAATCATGTCGCTTCGCCAACGATCCTACAGTCCAGCAATGCCTTCAGTCAAGCACTTAGATTGGTGATCCATTGTACCTGTCTCGTGATGTGTTTCGGCAGTTAAAGGGTGCTGCCCCGCCATTAATTTGGCATTCGACCTTCAGGTGGAGTCCGATTGCAAAGTATGCGGAGGCACTTCGGCCAGCGTTGCTGTCTCCCTAATTCCTGGATCGCTTGAGAGCATGCTGACTCCATTAGTGTTGTGGCTCGTCCGCTACGTGGCACTGGCACCATGTGGAAAACCCTTTGAAGCAACTCGCAACAAAAACCGTCTGCCACGACAGGTCTTCTTCCACCTCCTATTTAAAAATTTTAAAAAGCACACGGGGACATCGAAGATCGAATATCGGCCTGGAGCTACTGAGGAACGCTTCGTTCTCGCGACGGCCGTCGCGCCAAGTAGCGACCAAGAACACGGCCGCGAGGAATGTCCTTCTCAAAGGGGCTCAAGCATCCCAACCCCGTTGCGCAGAAACCAAGTGCCCCCAAGCATCCTCGCTGTTGACTGGCCGACCGTAAACACGGAAAGCAAAGCGCGCGCGAGACTCGTCTCGCTTGCGCCCCTGGAATGCCACACAAACATGCTGCGGTCACCAAGCTTGCAAAATTAAGACACATGACCAGAAACTAGTCAACGATGCAACTCGAGCGTGGTGCGTCAATCCACCTCTCCCCGTCAATTCATAAGCAAGCCCCAACCCAACATTTGCCGAAAGGCTTCGCGCTCCCGTGCATCCGCAGCATCACCTTTTGTCTGCGGTCACTGCTGCTACTCTTGAATGCTGCTCTGACTGCTGTTACTCGTATTGACATCCACGACCAAAGTTGAACTTGTTGTGCTGCCGCTTCTTGGCACCGTTTCTGAACCATTAATCACACATGAACAGAACATGCTACTGAAAAAACTCGTTACCTTTCTCAACAATCAGAACCTGTTGCATCTCCAGAAAGCTGCTGGTCATTACTTCGTCCTGCTCTTCTGATTACTGCAACCAGGCTTCTGACACTCTTAGTTATTATCATGTGTAAGCTCAAATAAACCATCCCAGCCGCTTCTGTTGGCCGCTCGTCGGAGGCTCTGACCTGCCTTGGTTTTGCACCACCGGAGCTGGAAGTGAAAGAAAACCTACGGTTACTTCAACAAGCAAACAACTGCATCAAGCCCGCCCGGCCCGCCCCTTCTACTTTCCAAGCAGTTCAGCCGTCGCCTTCAATCCTGTGTCCTAGGCCACTTCTTTGCAATTGAGCGACATCGATCTCCCGCGGCTTCCCGCCGGCTGCATCTCCATTGGATTCCGCGACCACCCCGGCCACAACAGGGCTTCCTGCACGACAAAGCTTCCGTTTCAGCAATGCTCGAATGTCTTTATCGGGGACTATGACGATGACTATGACTGTAAACGTCCACTTGAGAGCTGGTCACGAAAGCTAGAAGCACGAGGTCCGGTGCTGAGCTCTGCAAAGCGATGTGCACGACAGTAGCGGAGGGAAAGTTTGGGCCGGTGAAGGGTGCAGGCGTTGCTCGTTCATTTAACTCTTGAGAAAGTAATGTGCGAAAGAAGCAAGACATGCACTGAAACTATGCCAATCAGTCGCCGAACGTCAGACACAAACACAAACCAGGGGGCCTTGAGGAGGGGGGGGGGGTGAGGGGAACCTCATGATAGGGGGGAGGGGGCCCCCCCTCCCCCTCCACCTTATCCCAGGCACAACCACCTTAAAGGGGGGGGGGGGAGGGAAGCACCTTATCAGTGGAAAACGCATAACGACAAGGTGAAGGGGGGGGGCCCCTCCCCCCCTACCCCCCACCTTAACTCTTGGACGTCCCACCTGATAAGGTGCAAACCCTGTTTTTTCCCTAGTGCCTTAATACAAGTGAATTGCTAAAGGGCAACTCCCGCGAGCTCCACAGAGCTAGCTTTCGTGATTGAACTACTCTAGCAGTAGCAAGCATCCTGACTGCAATGTGGCTTCCACGTGTGGCTGCCCCTGGAAAGTGCACATAGCCGAGATCTATTTACAGCTGGCAACAAGGGCTGGCGCATAGAAACTCAGACTGTTGCGTGACTCTTGCCAAACCTTCCAAGTCGATGTTGAAGGTGAGTAACAGCGACTGCCATCTACTACGGCGCATAGCCGCAGCCTGAAGAGTGAGGCCCGAGGATGAGCTCGTTGAGGATACCCTCGCCAGCTTCGGTTGTTTTTTTGCTTGTTTTGCAGCAAGTGCCAGTGATCTGGATAATCAGATCGCAAGCAAAGGATGGGTTCAATGCAGATCTGGGAAGATCAACACAGGGATTTGACTGGTCTTTTGGCATCTGTTGTTGGAGCCACCTGACCTATGGGCCAGGCCAACCCTCCTTGAAATGAGCCAAGTGGCCTGCATCTCAAGGAGCTTTTGGGAAAGGCTCCCCTCCATGTCTTCGAAGTAAGTCTTGGTCGTCTGCCCCCATGCGCTCGACAGGTTGCCTGTGCGTGAGACGTCTCGCCGACACAAGAAGCAGCTGAACAACAAACAC